AAGGTCATGACACTTGTAGGTTCGAGTACCTGCAAAAGATAAGAAGAAAGGAATTAACCTGCGCTATGTTAACTAAAGGGCTGTTTCAGAGAGGCGGGAAGAAGTAGAAAGGCTTTCCAAGTGCAAGACGTATGAATCCAACAAGAGCGGTGACAGTGCCCATGAAGAAACCCCAGTACCAGGCTTTATTCATGCTAACCCAAACAATTATTGTGACGCCAAAGATTGCTCCAAAAGTTGTGCTTAGAATGTACCAATTGAAATACCTAGCAAGCTTCTGTTTTTCTTTTTGATCCTTCTCATCAAACTGGTCTGCCCCCGAGTGCTGGAAGAGCTCCTTTAACCTCACCAGCACCTAATGCTAACAGGCAAAGGGATCCGTGGAACATGGTTGCCACACCACCTTGGACACAGCCTGATTCGCAAAGAGGATCAGGCTGTAGGTCTTTGAAACGAGCTTGGATAGTAAGCAATGACAAAGCCTGCAAAGGAATTGAAATGGATATGACAATTAAGGGGTAAGCATTATCAGAAGTTGCTTTCAACAGAAGTGCCGAAATAACTTTACCACTACTACTATTGATCCAAATATCCAACATGTGTAGAGCCTGTTCAAGAAAGTGTCTGAAATAAAGCCTCCTAATAAAGTCAGCAAGCAGGCTGAACCCAAGTAGTTTGTGAGGGTGTTTGAAGAGGTGGGGTAATCAAGCTTCATCACCAAGTTGAAATACAGAACCATGCTAGCTAAGTTAGCCACGAAGCCCATATTCTCAAAGGCTCCCAACACTACAAAATCAGAACATTTAGTACAAACGAATGCTTTTTACATACCAAAAACATTTAGCACTGACATCATTAGCTAATCTTTAGTTGCAAGCATCATTTAAAAGCTTTAGTTTCTTACCAAAAACAAACGTGCAAGCCCGGAATCCACCTTTTTTCTTGTTCCCTTCTGAGTTCTTTAAGTACTGCACTTTAGAATATCAGAAACAATAAGCAGATAATCATATGACTGTTGTTGCAGAATGTGCTGAAGTAGGCAAGTATCATAATTAGGACTTACCATTCTCAAGGCTTGAGAGTTGAGATCAGCTCAGCAACTTCCAGTTGCCAGTAGTGAAATCGATTATGTTGCCTTGAGCACCTTATGGTAAGGCACCAGCAGCTATTTATGGTAAGTGTTAAAATTTCTAGGAGAAACAGCGTGTTTTTTATTCTGTAATAGAATGTGGCCTTTCTTTCCATAATGTGTTTATGCGGAATCTTAGGCCTTTCCATTAATTTCTCTTCAGGCTGTCATATAGTGATTCCGGTTTTTGACTATCTTCCACTTCTACACTTTGGCTTTTTATATGTACAATAATTGGCATCTCTTCCCAGGATACTTCGTAGAGCCCTCGAGGGAGAATTCGCAAGTTCAGAAATTTCAAACCCTTACTAATTGCTAATACTATATCACGTATGATGACAATCAGACTGGTAATTAACATAAGAAAATAAGGGACAACGGGGAAAATAAGGGGCATTATAATGCTACTTCATTATCAGAAAGTGAATGAAACCCTGGATAAAGGCTAGAATTCAAACATAAGCAGGATGAAGAAGGAAAAAAAGACTAGTTTTAACATATCTCGAATACAAATATTTAACTACTTAAACCAGAAGGAAAATATGCAATTTTCCACTTCCACTAAGCAATGGATGGCCAACCCAAAAGATGCTAAATTTCTCCTCCCTCTCTAGAGCAGCAGGATATTGAAGGCTTTTATTTTTGTCTCTTACATGTCATCTTACATGTCATCGGCCACACCTTCCTCCTCATCCTCATATTCATACTCCTCATCAGCAGTTGCATCCTGGTACTGTTGATATTCAGATACAAGATCATTCATGTTGCTTTCAGCTTCAGTGAATTCCATTTCATCCATTCCTTCCCCAGTGTACCAGTGCAAGAAAGCTTTTCTTCTGAACATGGCAGTGAATTGCTCACTAACACGCCTGAACATCTCCTGGATGGAGGTTGAGTTACCAATGAAGGTTGAAGCCATGGAGAGACCCCTAGGAGGAATATCACAGACACTGGACTTCACATTGTTTGGAATCCACTCGACAAAGTAGGAAGAGTTCTTGTTCTGGACATTAATCATCTGTTCATCAACCTCTTTGGTACTCATCTTGCCCCTGAACATGGCTGAGGCCGTGAGGTAGCGACCATGTCGTGGATCAGCAGCACACATCATGTTCTTGGCATCCCACATCTGCTGGGTGAGTTCAGGGACAGTCAATGCCCGGTACTGCTGAGAACCACGTGAGGTTAGAGGAGCAAATCCAACCATAAAGAAGTGCAGACGGGGGAAGGGAATTAGATTCACTGCAAGTTTACGGAGGTCAGAGTTAAGCTGCCCAGGGAACCTAAGGCAGCAAGTAACACCACTCATGGTTGCAGAGATCAGATGATTCAGATCACCAACTGTCACAAATAACAAATGAGAGTTACACAGAAGCAATGAAACATTTAAGATATATGATCTATAACAGTTCATAGGTAATTACTAGAAAACTCATTTATGCAAGAAAAAACAGAATACCCTGATCTACCATCCCTTATCAAATCAAATCGATAGGCAATTATATAAGCAAAAGATGTTAATACTTACAGCTGGGGGTGGTTAGCTTTAGAGTACGGAAGCAGATATCATACAAGGCCTCATTATCCAGGACCATGCATTCATCAGCATTCTCAACAAGCTGATGGACAGAAAGGGTGGCATTATAAGGCTCAACCACTGTGTCTGAAACCTTTGGCGATGGGAAGACAGAGAAGGTAAGCATCATCCTGTCAGGGTATTCTTCCCTGATCTTAGAAATCAGCAAAGTTCCCATCCCAGAACCCGTTCCTCCACCAAGAGAGTGGCAAACCTGAAAACCTGCCAAGAGAAACACACTTTTAGATCAAAAGCAACAAAAGAAAGAAAGGAATAAGCCACCAAACCAAAGTCACAATGAAAAATAATCATTTCTTTAGCAACTTAATATCACCGACCAACAAGATCTAACGAACAAGATTCATATTAACTCAAAAACTTAGAAAACGATCATAAAACAAGATATATATTGACATACAGCAATGTCACCTCACAATCAAGTCCAATAAGTTTTCTAGACCAAATTTAAAGACAGAAATCATACCTTGGAGACAATCACAGTTCTCAGCCTCCTTTCTCACAACATCCAGAACAGCATCAATGAGTTCAGCACCCTCAGTGTAATGACCCTTAGCCCAGTTGTTACCCGCACCAGATTGACCAAAAACAAAGTTATCAGGCCTGAAGATCTGACCATATGGACCAGTCCTGACACTGTCCATGGTACCTGGCTCCAGATCCATAAGCACCGCGCGTGGCACAAATCTCCCACAAGAAGCCTCGTTGTAATAGACATTCACACGCTCCAGTTGCAGATCAGAGTTTCCAGTGTATCGTCCAGTTGGATCGATACCGTGCTCATCACATACCACTTCCCAGAACTTAGAACCGATCTGGTTCCCACATTGTCCACCCTGAACGTGAAGGATTTCTCTCATTATTTAACAAAAATCTGCAGAAACCAGGCAACAAGCGTACGAATTAGCTACAGATCTGAGAAAAAAGTACAAAATGAGTTAGATGTACTACATTATATCACAGGAAAAAAAAAAAAACTAAATACATAACAGATTCTCTTCCATTTTCTCGGAAACCAAACAAGGTAAAATTAAAACGCGACAAACCCATAAAATCCAAAACAAATAAAAAATACAGTAACAGCAAGTTTGAAATGGCTCCGATCGAGCCAGTTTGGCTTCGAAAAAAATGCAGAATAAGTAAAAGAAAAATCACCTACGCAGAAAACAACTAAAATAAGTACTAAAAAACCAGAAAGATCAAAAAGAGCAGGACAGCATTTCCTCAGATTTTCCACGAGCTTTCTCGGCAACCAAACAGAAATCAAAGATGAGCACCGGAAACTTACAGAAGAAGAGAATGCTAGGCTTCCGGCGACCGAGCGCGGCGTGACTAGATCGGAGGCCGAGAGGATAAGAAAACAGGACAAGATCTGATGTGGGGAAATGAGGGTATATAAAGTGGGGAGGGGAAAGGGCTAGGCTGGCTGTTTAATCGGACGGCTATTATTGTTTCCCTCCTTTTCTAATATTATGTCCATCAAAACCGTTGGATTTGTTGCACTTGAACGGTGTGGATTCGTCGGTGCCGATGTTTTGTTTTTTCGAAATACGGAGATTCTGTTTCACCAAAATAGCCTCACTGGAAATGACTTATTTACCCGTATTGTACGCAGTTTTGCCGTTTTTCCCTTCTGTTTTTTCATGGTAGGTAAGGGTAAAACCGAATTTTTATTTTGTAAAGAACAAGACAAGGAGGGAAATAGTAATTTTAGAAAATCAAACTACGGGAGGGAAATTTTACATAATTTTTATTTTGAAACAAATTTCAAATTTAAAAGAAAAAAAAATAATGGTAAATTTCTTTTGGTCCTTATATATATTTTTCCATAATTTTTATTTGAAAAAATTTCAATGTAATAGAAAAAATTACTAATGAATTTTCCTTTGGCCCTTTTATATACTCTATTTATTTTAAAATAATATTTTTTTAACTTTTTCTCTAAATTAGATTTGGGATAATTCACATATTTATTTATATTATTTTCTGAAAAAAATAAATTTTGATTTTTTAATGATAAAATAATTAATCAATATAAATTAATAATGACAAAATTAAAGCAAGAAAAATATATTTACTTATTTAAAAAATAAAAACATGACAATCAATTTAAAACAAATTTTTTTTATTACAAAAACAATAATTATTCAGACTATAGAGAATGTATTTTTTCTGATTTAATGTTTTCCCTCTTAGTGCAATTTTTCTCCCTTTTTTTTTTCATCTTATAATTTTCCCCTTTTTTAGCATCTTATAATAAATGCAATACTTGTAATACTATATAATAGCAGTAACTATCCATCCGTTCCAAAATTTGATCTTTGTCTTTTCTATAAAAATATAAGTCAAAATAATATATATTTGTTTTCGTTAAAATAAAAAAAAATTATTGTTCTTGAATAAATTTTAAATTAAAAATGTCATTGAGTAAATTTAAAATTTTTCTTATTTAATGTTAATGTAATATAATATTACAAAAAATATTAACCAGTTTTTAGAATTACATAACCTAAATCATCAAATAGAACATAATGTTACTTATGATAGATTCCCCTAATTTTGTGTTTTGTAATCTAGATATTTTTTTAGTAATTAAATTTGTTTAATCTGTGTTTTAAAAATGTAATAAATATACTCTTTATAATCAATTTATCTAAAAATATATATTAATTACATTTTAATTTATAACTTAAAGATACAAGATAAAAATACCCTTAATTTTTAAGGTATCCCTAATCAATTTATATGTTTTTCAATTTTTTTTTCTTGGTTGGACAATAAGAGACAATCATCTCCCATCCCTTATCTTACATGTCATGCAACTCGAATTCTGGACATTTTATTTACAACAATGAGAAGCGATCATCTCACATCCCTTATTCTACATGTCATGCGACTCGAATTCAATACATTTTATTTAAAATAATGAGAAACAATCATCTCTCATCCCTTATCTTACATGTCATGCGACTCAAATTCAAAATATTTTACTTACAACAAAAGAAGATGACCAATGAGTTACTTAGTTTGTTGGCATATGTTTTTCAAAATCAATATTTTTTTATTTGATTAAATATAAACGATTTACTTTTTGTAATCTAAATTATAAAACCCATATTTATTTTCTTTTAAATTAAAGTCATTATAAGCACATCGACTGATCAACTAATTTCTAATATAAAGTCAATGATTTCGACACAGTCCATATACCACAAACCCTTCAACTAACCCTCAATATAATATTTCTACAAAAAAAAAAAAAAAAACCTTCTCAACATATAAAATTCTTTTCTTCTCCCTTTTTTTTTTCTTTTTGATTCTATAAAATTTTATTATTACTTTCATATTAGCAACGTCTTACCTCACAATTTAAATAATTTAATGACTATTTCTCTCATTTAAAAGTAAATAATCACTAAATTTAAGAGATCTTAAATTCAAATCACATGATATGTGAATAAGATGAAATAATAGATAAAAGATAATTGTTTTTCATCATGCAATCAATATAATATATATATATATATATTTGCTACATCTTAGTCAAGCACATGTGTTATCATCATCATGTTACGGATTTACGAGCAACGCTTGTACCAAAAAGCAGCAACGTGAACGGGTCATGGTCACATGTGACCCTCGCCATGTTGTAGATGACAACTAGGGCCGAAGATGATTTTTCATGGTTGCACTATCAGTTGTATATTATAGAAGCCAATTCACTTGAATGGTCACATGGTTTAGTTGAGATGCTTAGGGACCATGATATAGATTCATATTCTAAAAATTGTGTATGCACCTTTTTCTTAATCTAGCCAAAAAAAAAAAGGAAGTAATTTAAGTTTTTGGACCACTTATTTTGTAGCCTTTCTAATGTCTCCTCCATATATATGTTGCATTATAGATCTTGCAATGTGATTGACGATGTGCATGTGGGTATCTTTTTATTGATCTAGATAATAGGATCCAAGGAGAATAAGCCAACAAGGTCCCTAAATGACTTTTTATCATGATATATGTAACATGATAGAAAGATTTCGCACCGAACCCTTCGGGTTAAGTGGCAATAGCCACCCATGGTGCATTTCCCCCTCCCCAGAGCTGGGGTTTGAACCCAGCCCCTTGTAAAATCAATTCAAAAAAAAAAAAATGATAGAAAGATTTCAATATTTAATTAAAAATTATTGTATAATTTACATTGAACTGTACAATATAAATGATTATATGGGGATAAAAATTTTAATATTGGAAATTGTCCCTTCAACCAAACATTTTGGTTTTGTAATTCGCACTGCAAAATAAGGAATAGGCAGGAATTAATACACTTAATTTCTTAAATAGAAAATATAATATTTTTGAAACCATTTCACCAATGGGATCCGTGGCGCAATGGTAGCGCGTCTGACTCCAGATCAGAAGGTTGCGTGTTCGATTCACGTCGGGTTCAATACCCCGATCCTAACTGGATCCTTTCTCTTTTTACCTTCGGTTAACTACCCAATTTGGTCCCTCAAATTTCATTTTTGAACCAAATCAATCCTTAATCTTTAAAAAGTATAAAAAATATCCTCAAACTTCAATTTTTTGTACTAATTTCGTACATCTGTTAACCAAATTGACATGTGACAGGTTAAGTTGTCAGAAAATCAATTTTTTTTTTAAATAATGACATGAAAAAGAAATAAAGTTTTTTTTTTGACAAATTGGCATTTTTTTTTCCACATCAATGAAAAAAATATATATCTTTTTCTTGAAAAATTCTTGTGTATCCTTGGTACCTCAGGCCAATCGAAAAGCACCACTTCAAATCTAATGAAGAAAAGCTGAGGTAGTGGTTTTTGGTTGATCCAAGGTACCACAACAGTGATATCTCAGGGATACACCAAAATTTCTCCTTCTTCCTGTTTCATTTTCTCTTTTCCTTTCTATTCTTTTCCCCTACTTTTGCAAACCTTAACTTTACCCATCCATCAAATACCTAGACATTGTTACCAATACCAACATTATTTTCCTCAAATTCTATTACTCTTGTATAACCAATTCCTAAACTCACCTAATCAAACTCTATTTTTGCACCAAAAAAGAAAAAAAAAGTCACCTAATCAAACACAAATTATATATTAAATGGTAAAAATTCTAACAAGAAACCTAAAAATCCATCATCTTCTCTCTCTTTCTTTTTCATTCTCTCTCCTCCCCATCCTTCTCCTTTCTCAAATTGGATGGAGAATCCACGGGTTCTCCTAGAGAATCCAAATAAACTCACGGGGAGAACCCAAATCTAAGTTCTCTTATTCAATAGATCAAGGTGGAAGGAGAAGGAAGAAAAAAAGGGGAAAGAGAGGAAGAAGAAGAAGACTAAAGCCCTCATTGGGAAGCCACTTGATTTGGAGATGAAGGGGACAATGAGATTTGGAGGTGAAGGGGTCCGAAGAGAGAAAGGTGAGTAAGGAAGAGGAGAAAGTCGTTAAAAAAAAAAGGCCATGGGAGAAAGGAGAAAGAGAAAGAAAGGAAGAAGGAGGGAGGAAGAGAACTACATTGTTGCCATCGTTGTTGTAGCCATCACCATTGCCATCATCATTGACTTTGAAGAAGGAGAACAGTGAATGAGGATAAAGGGTGTGATGGCTTAGGACTTGGGAGAATGAGATTCGTGAGACTTGAATATGCGTTCACATGAGGTGATCTCCACTTTAACCAAAGTTGTGGCCATTGAGCCAAGATGTGGAGATCGTGATGGCTTAGAGGTTGAGATTAGATTTAAGGTCTATAGTGTTTATAAAATGTATATAAAAAGTAGTATAACAGTAAATATTACAGTTTTTTTTTTAATAAATTGTCAAGGGATTGGCTCGAAACCGTTGATGAGGAGGCAGGATGCACTTTAAACTGATAAGTTGACAGTTGATCTGAAAAATCAAGTGTGTAAATATTACATTTACAGATAAATTTTAGTTAAAAAACCATGTAAAAAAGAAAAAAGTGACATTACCATTTTTTTCGCATCATTATTTTTTATAAAAAAAAAGCATCCAATTGTCTAACAATTTAACGTAACTGTTAATTCAGTTAAGGAAGGACTAAGTTGGTCACAAAAATTATTAACCATTTGGTCCAGCATCATTAATTTCTTTCACGTCACCATTGTATTATAATGAATTGCCAGTAATAAATACTCTAAAACCCATTATTAATTATCCATGCACAGCGAGGTGTGATACCTTGCAGTTTAGATAATTAACATCTCATTTAACACAGTTACCTAATTAGTGTTCATGTAATTAAGTTAATATCATTCTAAATAATAACTGCACCAACATAATTAATCCATAGCCATAGTAAGCCGCCATGAACATAAAAGTCTATCATCCACGTGACATGTCCCATGAGAAACTTCATAAAAGTGGGATCAAAAGGAAGGTAAACCTCTAAAAAAATAACATGTAGTTTATATAACTAACATCCACTGCAAATATCCCATTCAACAAAACCCCCTAATTAGTTTTCATGTAATTAAGTTCATATCATTCTAGATAACAGCTGTACCAACATAATCCACAGCTATGATAAGCCAACATAAACATAAAAACCTGCACCATCCATGTGACGTGTCCCAAAAGAAATGACATAAAAGTGTGATCAAGGTAAAGTTAAAACTTTTCATTATCTGGTGAGGACTGCGTGGTGCGACCACCAGAGGATCCAGCAGCAGCAGTAGTTTCTTCTTGCATGCCAAGAGAGTCATGATAAGGCTCTGCAGGAGAGACAATAGGGTCATGTAATACCAAGTTACTAACTCCAGATATACCCCAAAAAAATTAATTAAGACACAGCAAACTCAGTACTAAATTAACTCACTACCTCCACCAGTTGGAGTATAATTCATGGCAACCGAGGCAACATTTGAGGATCCTGCAGGTTAAAGAAAAAGGTTAAACCAATAATATTCCATAATTAGAAGAATGTCAAAAATACTATAATAATGCAGCAAAATATATACATACCCACCAAATTTCCAATGAACGTTCCATGTTCCAGCCAAGAGTCAAAAGCATCCAAATCAAAAAATAACTCACCACCTTCAACAGCTGTGGTTGAATCCATGGCACCTGAGGCAACATTTGAGGATCCTGCAGGTTAAAGAAAAAGTTTAAACAATAATATTCCATAATTAGAAGAATGTCAAAAACACCATAATAATGTAGCAAAATATATATACCCGCCAAATTTCCAGTGAGTGTTTCATGTTCCAGCCAGTCAAAAGCATCAAGTGGTACAACCTTCTGAAATTTCAGAGAAAGTGTTGAAAAGATTCAGGTAAAGAGTAGTAGAAGGAAAACATGAAATAGTCTAAAACTTTTGAAAACATAAACATAAAGTGTGCTTTAGGGGCAGAATCAGGGCCGATTTGTGGGTACGTTGGGCTGTGATGTAATAATATATTATATTAAATCCAAAAAGAAAAGGTGCAAGGTTGGAACTTGGAAGGAAGTAAGGCACAGATAGTCGCACCTTCAAATCTTCCTCAAGCTTCTTTGTTTCTTCCTTGAACTCTTCTTGTTTTTTCCTTTCCCTAAAGGCTTTGAACATGTCAATAATTCCAGGCTCCTCACAAAAGGCCTTGTATTCTTTGTGTTGAAACTGCATTTACAATTCAAACAAAATACATGAGGATTTTGTTAGCAATATAATTCAAGTAAACATCAATCATTCAGAACAATATAGATTCAATCATTAATTTCAAATCATTTTTTGTTCCCACAATTAAACTATTATATCATAAAGAAATAAACTCATACATTATTACAGCACAAATTAATAAAAGATCCTAAACAGTAGAACCTATAGAAAATATTTAAAATAACATACAAGAAAATTGCACCCGTAAGCAGTTTCTAGAGAAAAAGTTAGCAGCAGCCCTAGGCCAGGAGAGTAAGGGAGAATGTGGAAAATCAGCAGTAAGCTCAAGGGCTCATCACCTAGTCATAGGCGCTTCCTTTTTATTATTATTATTATTGTTATTTTTTATCAGCTCATGGGAGCTTCCTTTAAGCTTGTACATCACTACCTCATCCTTCACTTGGCTTGTAATTTTAAAGTAGAGTGGACATATAGGAGAATAATTATGGAGAGACTACTGCACCATAGTGCCGATCCGCATCCTTGAAATGAGATAGACAAACAAAAAGACTTGAAAACCATATATATAAAGAAGAAATGGAGAGACATTTGAAACTCCAAGGCAGTGCATGGAGATTCCCCTCCAAACAGCACTATAGCCAAACACCAACAACATATTCCATATACACATAATCAGGTCATATGCTAAAATGATAGAAAAACCATACTAACATCCCTAAAGTAGCTCCACACCACTTCTTTTATGCTCATCAGCCAAAGACTAACTTAAGAGAAATTGAATGTAAGCTGAATGACAAGCATGTATATTTATATGCTTCTAATGATGATTTATGTCATAAACAGATTATGTTGTGCATGATCTTGTATATATGTAGGTGAGTGTTATTTTTTGGCTTAACATGTTCTGGATCTCCAATGAGAATAGTGGACCTCCATGCAGTAGGGATGTACTTAGGCTAGCTTCATTACTAGAGTGTGAGTACATGCACTCAAGTGGACAGTAGACTCCATAGCCATTTAGTTTATACTTATTGTTTTTGGTGTTTATGTATGCACTCTTTTTATTTATGTCCCATTTATATTAAGACTAATCCTGCATGCTATAGCTAATTATGAAATGCGTGATAAACTATTTTGTTGATGTTCACCATGTCATGTTTAACTTCAGTTTATGCTTAATTTTTTTATGAAATGCTTATGCTAACTGTCATCACTTGGTTTGTACATTGCTAGTTACCTAAATTATGCATAAATGAAATTTGTCATGAGTGTTTCTATTGAAGAGGTTTAACTTTACCTCTTCGTTGTGTTGGAAGGACTGGGTGGTGGGACCACCAGAGTATCCAGCAGCAGCATTAGTTCCTCCTTGCATACCATGAGGGTCATGATGAGGCTCAGTAGGAGAGACAATAGGGGCATTTGTAGGAGCTGCTACAAAAAACCTCTGAATCGCTTCCTCCATCCGCTGCTGCCGCTCTTGCATCTCTGAGCGAAATTGGTCCAGCTTCTTAGAAATAACTACCTCGGTGTAGCACTCAGGAACATAATAAGTATCCTGTGCATATTTTAAGAGACATTTACCACATAGTACGTAAGAATGTGATACTGGAAAAAGTTGAAGCCAACAACATTTGAACACAAAAGAGTCTTGTCACCTATCACTCCATTTACTTCTCAGTTATCACCATTATACCAAATAAGAACAGCCACACACTTTAATTTCTATTAATGCATCATACATATATTTCGATATACTTATGTGTTGCCTTTTTTTTTTTTTAGTACATACTTACGTGTTGCTTTTGTGCAGGGGGGTTAATCCATTTGGGCCCCTCATTCTGTTGTGCCACTTTCCTACTGTTGTGGCCTGGGAGGACAGACTGACATGCAGTCTTGGGAGCATTAGCCATAAGCCCACTAGGTTGAGAACCACCAATTGGGATATGATGTGGAGTATAATTGTCAGTAGTTGCAGGTATTTTGGCCCTTTGGGCTTCAGCCGGTTCTTCCTCTCTCGTCCTCTTTAACCCCCTTGTTGGTGGCTCAAATGGGGTGCCCATTCCTGTTAGTTTCAAAAGAAAAGACTTAGCCCACTACAATTAATTAAGACAGCAACCAACAGGATAGAATTTGACTGAGTTGACCTATTTACTTAAAAATCTTGATTTGCCACTAAGGTGATGGGTTCAAACCACTGTAAAACCAAATTATTAACTCCAAATATGCCCCAAAAAAGTAATTAGAAAAAGTTAAAACAATAATATACCGTAATTAGAAGAATGTCAAAAATACTATAATAATGCAGCAAAATATATCCATACCAGCTACCGAACTTCCTGTCAACATTTCAATGTTTTTGCTTGTTCCATCCTTCTGAAATTTAAGAGAGAGGGAGTTGAATAGATTCAGATAAAGGGCAGGTGAAGGAAAACATACTTTTGAAAACATGCACATAATGATAATGTATGGGTTGGGGGCAGAATCAGGGCCAATTTATGGGTACTTAGGACCGTGATGTGATAAATATATTATATTAATGAAATATTGTTCTGCAGTCGGATGAAAGCGTTGGATGAACCAGGAAGGACCCCAATATTGTTGGATGAGGGGTGGGCCCCCCCCTCCAACTATCCTGTTTGGCAGTCTGGACTGCAAAACAGGGGACTTTTTTATTAAAACCCTAAAAAGAAAAGGTGCATGGTAGGAACTTGGAAGCACCATCCAAACTTCTCCAAGCTGATTTAATACTTCCTTGAACACTTGTTTCCCTTCCTTGAAGGCTTTGAACATGTCATCAATTATGGGCTCCTCACAAAACTCCTTATATTCCTTGAATTGACTCTGTATTTACAATTACAACACAATAGATGAAGATTTTTTAAGAATATAATTCAAGTAAACATCAATCATTCAGAACAAAGTAGATTATATCATTAATATTAAATAGTTGTTTTTTCCTGCATATAAACTATTATACTATAGATAAATAAACCCATCCATCCTTACAACACAAATAAACATATACTAAACAGTAGAACCTATAGAAAATCTCAAACTAACATACAAGAATACTGCACCCATAACAAAACATAGAGCAGTTTCTGGAGAAAAAGTTTGCTGCAGCCTTAGGCATGGAGGGTAAGAGGGACGGTGGAAACTCAGCTGTAAGCTCAAGGGCTCATCATCTAGTCATGGGTACTTCCTTTAAGCCAAACACCAACCACATATTCTCTATATACATACTCAGATCATATGCTAACAAGATAAAAAAGCCATACTGCCATCCTTAAAGTAGCTCCCACACTTCTTTTATAGTCACCAGCCAAAGACTAACTTATAAGAGAAATTGAATGTAAGTCGAATGACATGCATGTACATTTATGATGATTCATGTTATCAAAAGATTGTGTTACACATAATCTTGTATATATATATGTAGGAAATTGCTATGATCTTGTATATTTAATCATCTATGCTTATGCTAACTGTAACAATTAATAAGAACAACAAGACATTAATTTATTTACCGTCCGTTTGGCCCGATACTCTCTATCCTTTTTATTTTTCTCCTTCCTTTTCTTCTTTTCTTCCTCAGACAGTGGCGGTCCCGGCAGACGTCCTTGTGCAACTCGTTCACCCACTAAATTGCCGATGTCTTGAAGAACACGTCGAGCTCTTCCATCTGCTCCCGATCCATTTTTCTGTTTCATTTCGCCTAAAAAAGTTCCGAGAAATTAAAGAACGTTATCACCAGAAAAATAAATCAGGATTCACAGGAAGAAAACATCACAAATCGAAGATTTAACTGGGGGAAAAAAAGAGAGCGTCAAGTTTCCTTTTGAAGGGACGCGAGCGCGACTCTACCCCCCAACGGTCTAATTTTTTTCGCCTTATTTTGACCGTTAGATTTGCACTTTGCAGGCTATCTAACGGTTATGAGCGCCTTTTTTTTTTATTTTGGAATTTTGTAGCCGTTAGGGGTTCGGGCCGCATCCGCACGGCCTGGCAAGGCATTCTAGTGAGAGAGCTCGATCGCAAGACATCTCTCGACCTCGCTCGCACTCCCACTCCCACTGAAGCAGTTTTGACAGTCAAAGCGAACGCCACAGTATTTTACTGTGGTAGCAGTTTATAATAGAACTTAACCTATACAAACAACCTGTTGGTCTTACTGGAAAAAAAATTTTAATTTTTTTAAAATAAAATTTTAAATTTGAGTCTTGTAAATAAAAAAATAAGTGTTTAAAGAGTTTTTTCTTAATAAAATACGATCTGATTTAATTTTAAATTAGTTAAAATTCAATATAATTACCGAACACTATAAAGTTAATACCAAAAAAATATACCTTTAACATATTATTTACCTTCTGTTTCTGTCCTTGCATGGATCGGCCCATGTGAATTACTAGGATCCTTTTCCCCTTCACATGGGTCAGCCAGCCCATGTGACCTTTTCGACCCACTTAAATAAACAATTTTTGTTCATCACTTTTTTTTTTTTTAAGTGTTAAGTAGTTGAAATTATATTGAATTACAGATCCTAATGTCAGAGCCCACCTCCATTGTCTTGCGGTCCGATTCAATTCACACAATAACATTTTGTTTGATAACCTATTCAATATTATTTTATAGTTATAATTGTTTTTTAACTAATTTTTTGGTATTTAACAACCATATAAAGTTTTAATTCATTTGAAAACTAATCGTATTAAATTTAAAAAAAAAATTTATTTAAGACTTATTTTTTTATCCATAAAATTTAAATTTAAAATTTTATTTAAAATTTAACTAATTTTTTGGTATTTAACAACCATATA